GTACGGTAACCTGGTACGCGCTGGCCCTGGATGGCGGAGAGATGGGGGTGCGAAGGCTGCTGCCTCGACTGAGGCAGAGCAAGCTGGAGCCGAGGCCAAGGCAGAGGAGACGACAGAAAAGGCCACACCTGCAGGACAGGAGAGCCTGGATGCACTAGATGCTGCCATTCAGTCTGGTGCAGCTGAGGAGAAGGATACCAAGAAGCCGAAAGAAGCGGACGACGACAGCAAGCTTCCGCCTGAGACGGCAGAGGACTTGCGACCCTTTCCCCTCAATCAGTGGTTCCGCAGCCAGCCAGTATTGAGCGAAGACCTCCGGGAAGCAATCTGGCGGAGAGTCAAGAAAGATGGGGCGACAGTATCGCTCGCCAGTGTCGAGTTCGGCGTCAGCAATGAACGCGTCGGCGCTGTTGTGCGACTGAAGCAAATGGAGAAAGAGTGGATAGCGCAGGTATGTTCTCCCATTTTTATCAATTTCCCCACAACACGACATGATGAGCTTCTTAAAAATCGATTAGTCTTTAAGACATCCACATGGTTACAAAACTTAAGTCATGCTCTTGCTGAACGTCGTCGGCTTGTTCTTTGAAACAACGGAAACACACTGTATTACAATTGCTAATCCAATGTGTGCAGGGTAAAACACTCGCGCTCCCTTACTCCAAGGCTGTTCTTTCCATGCTTCCAACAACCCCACACATCGATACCTCGCTTCCTGGGAACAAGAACAAACGTCCTATCACGCACGAGCCCATCAACGACCTCGCGGTACATCCCGCGACACGCCAGCAGCTCTTTGTGCCTGTTGCTGAGTCTCGGCAATTCACGCGTGAAGATGCTGGCAAGGCTTTTGACAACACGCTGTTGCCGGCCGACGCACGCATTCCTCATCCAGAACTTGTGCAGGCTGAGCGTGAATTGCAGTCTGGACTTTCGTTCGAGGAGCGCAAGAAGCTTGCCGAGCAGCGATTTGAGCAAGAGCAAGCAAAGAAGAGACAAGAAGAGAAGCGCAAGGAAGAGGAGCTTAGGGCCATGAAAGTGGTGCCACAGCGGAGGTGGGATTTCGTCTTCAAGGACGTCAGCGTAGAGGCTGCAGGCAGAGATGGCAGAGGCGCCGCGGCTGCTGGATGGCGGTATGGTGTGCCGCACCAGGACCGCAAACGAGGCATCCCGAAGATCCCTACGCGGGTTGAAGCCTAAATTTATGTATAATGCTGTATATATAATACATGATGATCTGACGCTGGCCTTCACCGGTACTGCATCTTCTGGCCACCTCGCTTCTCCATCTTGGCCTGTCTCTTGCTTGCTTGCGGCTGGGGTACACCGGCTGCATCCTGATATCCACCCCTCATGCCCGTGTAGGTGGTGTAAGCGGAATAGGCACTGTAGACGGGGATCACAATCCACAGGAGCCAGGCGTAGTCTCCCACAATAGCAGCCATAACAATGCAGCCATATGTCCAATAGACGACATCCCACATGTACTCAGTCAGGCCCTTGGCATCGAGGTCTTCGCCAGGTCGCTTGACGGCGCCATCGGCATCGAGGGTGGGGCGCGAGAGGCGCTCGAAGTACAGCTGGATGAGCAGTTGCGGAGCCGAGAGGAGTAGATAGACGATCAATGACTTGCGTGACAGTGAGGCGCGGAAGACGAGGGCACGCAGGAGCCACCAGAGGCCGTGGACGGCGAGGGTGATGTAGAGGGTCTGGTTGAGGCGCTGGGCATTGGAAGCCGCGAGCGTCTTGGTGGCTTTCTACGGGGACTGTCAGTGACGGATGCGTGGGAGTGGGCGGCGGGCGCGCGGGCGTACCTTGGCCATGGTGAAGGTGCGATGTGGCTGTGACTGGCTGGACGTGTGCAGAGAAACGTCGTGCGTCTCTAGGCGGGACATTGTTTTGTTACATGTCTTGGCACTCGTAGCGCGTAAACCTACACCTTGACCGCGTCCACCCGCCTGCCCGCAACATCACCACCGCCGCCGCTCCAGCCAACGCCGCCCCGACTATGAGCGCATTACCTTGAGTCTCCGCCCTGTCTCCGCCGCCGCCCAGCAAGCATGTCAGCACCTCCAGGCGTAAATGCCCAGCTGCGCCAGATCGTATACTACCACCTAGACAACGGCTTCGCTGAAAACGCCCTGTTCTTTGCCGGCCGCCTGCACGCCCTCGATCCTCGCAGCCACGATGCCGCGCACCTACTTGCCCTGTGCAACCTCCGTCTGGGAAGATACAAGCAAGCCCTGGACGATGCGCGGACCAAGGGCAACCACACCCAGCATCTAGGATGCGCCTACGTCTTTGCCCAGGCCTGTCTCGCCCTCGGCCGCTACGAGCAGGGAGCCCAGGCGCTGGAGAAAATGCGCAGTTCCTGGGCAGGGCGCAACCACTGGAGTGAGTATCTATAGGAGTAAACACTGGTGACCTGTATTGACCTTCGTCACAGACAAGCATTCCGAGACCTCACGACGCCACGTGCCCGACGCCGCCGCCTGCTACTGCATGCTGGGAAAGCTGTATGCAGCCCACGGCGACTCCAAAAAGGCCATTGAACACTTTGTCGCCGCGCTCAAGATCAACTCCTTCATGTGGGATGCCTTCACCGGTCTCTGCGACATTGGCGCCGTCGTACGCCCTCACAACATCTTCAAAATTACGCCCGACATGCTCCCTCCCGCCTCCTCATACAACCTCCAGCCTAGAATGAATGGCCGCAGCGCGCAGCCGCCTTCATACAACGACGTCGAAAACCCCTTTGTCAACGGCCAAAACGTACACGACGAGCACGCCATGATGGGTGAGGCTGGCGGCCCAGTCCAAATGCGCCCCATAACATCAAGAGCCCGTACCAAGACGAACCCCGAGAGTGATCAGACGGACATTCCGCGGCCCGTATACCAGAACGGACATAAGAGAACCGTATCTGGCCATTCTCTGCAGCAGCCACAGCCCCACTCACAAGCACCGCAGCAACCTCACTCCCAATCACAACAACAATCGCAACCCTTCGATCCTACAGCAGCTCCCCCACGGCGCAGTGTGCGGCTGCTGAACTCCATCACTCAGATTCGGCCTTCAAGTAGCAGACCAGGCGGCACCTCAAGCAGAGACCTCGAGTCGAAAGAGCGGCGCGAGCTACGGAAAGCAAGGGCGGCAGCTCCCAAGCCACGCTCAGGGACAGGTTCGACTGTGGGCAGAGTTGTTAGTGGCAACAGAAAACCGCATCTCGACAACTCTGAGCCCACGAAGCCGGAGAGACCACGGAGCGTGGCGGAGACAACTGTCGCACCGCCCCCCAGAATGGGTCCGCCCGCAGATACTTCACGGGACCGAGATGTCTTGAGCTGGCTACTGGACCTGCTCCTCAAGATAGCTTCTGGATACAGGCACCTGAGTCGCTATGATGCATCAAAGGCACTTGAGGCATTTGGACTCGTGCCCAAGTCACAGCGGGAAACACCGTGGGTCCTGGCGCAGATCGGCAAGGCCCATTATGAGCGCACACATTACACAGACGCAGCCAGCACGTTTCGAAAGATACGAGAACTGGCACCTGCTTCCTCCGAGCATATGGAAGTGTATTCCAATACGCTCTGGCAGCTCAGGGACGAGGTGGCCTTGGGTCATCTTGCACACACGCTGATGGACCAAGATCGTCTCTCTCCACAAGCTTGGTGTGCACTGGGTAATGCAAGCTCTATAAACGGGCAGCATGATGAAGCTGTCAAATGCTTCGCTCGAGCTACCCAGCTGGATCCAAAGTTCGCCTATGCTTTCACCCTCCAAGGTCATGAGCATGTCGCAAATGAGGAGTTTGATAAAGCCATGGCGGCTTATCGCAACGCCATTAGTGCCGATAACAGGCACTACAACGGTTGGTACGGTCTTGGAAACGTCTACGAGCGTCTGGGCAAGTACGAAGTGGCTGAGAAGCACTATCGGGCAGCGGCGGAGATCAACCAGAACAACGCAATGCTCCTTGTTCGGATAGGCTTGGTAAGTCATTATTACCCTTATTTGTCTGTCGAATACTAACATGAGTACGCAGGTTCTGGACCGCATGAAGAAGACTGAACCCGCATTGCTGCAGTTCGAAAACGCGATCAAGATCGAACCACGCTCCGTCATGGCACGCTTCCGCAAATCGCAAGTCCTGCTGAAGTTGAACGCGCCGCAAGAGGCCCTACACGAGCTTCTCTACTTGAAAGACGCTGCTCCAGACGACCCCAACATACATTTCCTGCTAGGTAGGTGTTACAAGAAGTTGCGAGACCGCGCGAGCGCCATCCGCCACCTCACGATAGCCATGAATCTGGACCCGAAGAGCCACGGCGTCATCAAGGAAGTCATGGAAAGTATCGATCAAGAAGACGACGGCGCATGGAGCAGCGAAGACGAACATTAACGTTGCTGCGCCTGTGGCCTTTTTGAACAAAACCCTTTGTCACGAACCGCGTAGCTCAATACCCGAAATGACTTCTTTATCCCTACGACAACGCAGCAATCATCTTCATCTTCATCAGCCTTGTCTTTTAGCGCATACCCCTTTCTAGGTTTCCACGTTTGCCTTTTTCTTCTCTTTCTCTATACCCATCATCATGGACTTGGACTTTGCATCATGGGCGCATTGGGGGAGGGGCGTAGCAAAAACGCAGCCACAACTTGATGGCTTTTGGCATAATCATCATGCATTTTGGAGAGGCGTTGCGGTGCTTTGTTTTGCTGGCATTGACGCTGCCTAGTTGGGCTGGCGCAGCGAAGGGGATTACATTGGCGTAGTTTGTAACAACGACGACTACGAATGACCAATACCTTGGATGACCACTACCGCTTTTTGCGCAGACTTATCGTCTAGTCTTGTGCGACAAAAGGCGAGATGGAGATTTGCGACTTGTACTATATATCAAAATGCATTGGGATATCCTTACCTCTACACACATGTTCATCTATCTCAAGACTTGGCATGGAATAACCTTTCTTCCCTTTTTCTTCACCTCACTCTAGCTCAAAACAGCAACTAATCTCCCACCACTGACCTCCCGTCGCCTCATCCGATCTAACCCCGCATTCACCCCTTCCAACCCCTCAACCGTACCCACAACCTCCGGCGGTACCAACGTTCCCTTGGCCAGCAGCCGTTCGCACCACGCACTGAGCGCCTCGCCCACTTGTGGCACTTCGTGGTAAAGCTTGATCGGCACACTGTGCAGCACAACGTCTTTCGGCACGTCATCCTTTGGCAGACCCGTCAAGCCCACGAGATGAGCTCTCTGCCCCGCTGGAACGGAGATATGCGGTGTCGATGGCTGAGTCGGCAGTTTGGCCTGTGATGACGATGAAAAAGTAGGATGTGAAAGAGCGCTCATCAAGTGCCCCGCTGTTTCTCTACCCAGCGTGTCGAAGCCAAAGCGCGCGCCTGTCTTCCCCGTATATGTGCGGATGACTTCTACCGCTCTCCCTGCGTCGTGCGCGTCAACGAGATAATCCGGTCGCGCTGCCTCCGAGGCCAGAAGTCTGGGACCGTGTTTTACGGCATCGACAACTGCTATGACTTTCACCCCGGCTAATCGTGCTATCTGCATCGTGACAAACGCGCATACCGATCCTGCACCCCATATAACCAGGTGGTCTCCGGCCTTGATACGTTCTTTGACGTCAATACTATGGAAACATTCTTGTCGTATGTCACTAGGTATACCCTCCGGATCCAGACTTCGTACAATACCGAGGACATCAGGTCCGTTTTCTACACTGGAGAAATCGAGCCCTAGACATATCCCTAGTGTGAGGGCGGCGGAGACAAAAGCTACGCCTAGGATACTGCCTGAATTGAGGGAGAGGTTGGGAGGCAGGCGAATGGTGTTGAAAGTGGATGCGATGCTGTAGTGTTGGTATGCGGCTTTGCGTGGGTCGCGGTAGTCGGTTGAGGGGACGAGGACGCGGTCGCCTTTTTGGATGCGAGACGAGGTTGTTATTGGGGTGAGGAGAACTGTGCCGCTGTATTCGCGGCCGGAAATGTAGGGGAGGGTTGGGATGCCGAAGTTGTAGTCGCTGGAGGGATGTTAGTTGATATGTGGGCATGGGGCTGGGTGGTCGGTTCGTACGGTGCTTTCCAGTCGATTGGGTTGAGGCCTACAGCTTGCACTTTTACTAAGAGCTCGCTGTCGTGTTGGATGCTGGGTAGAGGGTGGTCGGCGGAGACTTCGTATGGTTGGCGTATAGCATGGAGTTTCAATGCTGGTTGTACCCTGGGAAGCGTCTCTTCTTTGCCCTTTTGCTGAACCTGTTCGATTGTTTTACGCCTTTTCGATATTGTCTCTTTTGAAGACGCTGCTGTGATACTACGAGTCCGCTTGACTTGTAACATCATGAGGATTGAAATTCAGGTTGCTCAGGTGTGTGCCTTTTGCGTTGAGGTTGATTCTCCTTCAATGCAACTCCTCAACTGGCTTCTGATCGCCAACTTTCGGGTTTCTGTTTGCGACCTCTCCGGGAATGCGCATTTAGATTACTCAAGTAGGTTAGATGCGATCTGCAAGTCTACAATAAGGACTCTCTAGATGCGCGAATAACTGTTGTCATTGTGGATTAAGATGGCACAATACGCGTAGTCGGCAGACTATCAATTTACCGCCTCAACTTACCGTCGCGTAGCGTAGATAGAAGGGCCTACATCGGAGACAAACATATAGTGATACCTCGGAGTTGACGTGATGACGCATCCCGCAGATACCTAAGCGATTGCGTTTGAGAGCGCTCAAAGCACATCATCCGACCTCCAGAACCACGAACTTCTTCCGCACGATACCATTCGATACTTTGCGAAACAACCATTGATTCCTACCATGGCGAAGCGAAACCGAGAGAATGGAGTTGCAAATTCGAAGAATGCGAGGCGAAAGATTGATGCGACAGCGAAAGGCAAGAAGAAGCTGATCATCAATGCCTTCGTTGAGATGTGTAAGTTCACGTGACGCCCCCTCATAAAGCCAATCTACATGGGAGAGCAGCAAGTCGATCGAGCAACTTGACGATAGCTAACAATTAGCCTCCAATAGGCAGTGGCCACCAGTCACCAGGCCTGTGGAGACATCCTGATGACCGTTCGCATGAGTTCAACAACATCGAGCACTGGGTAGAGCTTGCGAAGCTGCTTGAAAATGCCAAAATTCATGGTATCTTCGTAGCCGACGTGCTCGGTGGATATGATGTCTACAATGGCAATCTTGATGCTGCAAAAATCTCAGGCGCGCAATGGCCAGTCAATGAGCCTTTGGCCATTGTGAGTGCCATGGCAGCAGTCACCAAGAGCATCGGATTCGGCGTGACTGTCTCGACAACATACGAACAACCGTACCACCTTGCTCGGAGATTATCGACGGTCGATCATCTTTCGAAGGGAAGGTGAGACATCTGTTATCCTTATCTGGCTCAGGGACTGAATTGATCTAGGCTTGGTTGGAATGTGAGGGTATTCGCTTCCTCGATCGCTGCATGGATAATGACCTTTACAGATTGTGACCAGCTATCTAGACTCGGCTGCGCGTAACATGGGTATGAAGGAGCAACTGCCGGTTAGTTTTTCGTGTACCTCGGCTTGGCTTGGCTAGAGACTTTGCTGATATACTTCAGCATGACGAGCGCTATGCGCAGGCTGAGGAATATGTGAAGGTCATGTATAAACTGCTAGAGTCTTCTTGGAGAGATGATGCAGTCGTACTGGACCGGAAGAGTGGTGTATACACGGTACCCGATCGGGTGCGCGAGATCAACCACGAGGGAAAGTACTTCAACGTGCCTGGCCCTCACATATGCCAGCCAAGCCCGCAACGTACGCCTCTCATCCTCCAGGCGGGTGCGTCGAAGGCAGGAAAGACATTTGCAGCACAAAATGCGGAAGCAATATTCGTCTCCGCCCATGCGCCCGAGGTCTGTGCGAAAAACATCGCAGAAATCCGACACATTGCCTCTTCGCAGTTCGGTCGGGAAGGGAAGAACATCAAGTTTCTTGCCCTTGTAACACCCATCATCGGTCGAACCGAAGAAGAGGCCCAGGCCAAGCTTGCCGATTACCGCAAATATGCGTCCTTGGAAGGAGCGTTGTCGCTGTTCTGTGGTTGGACTGGCATTGATCTCGGAAAATACGGAGACGATGAGGAACTGCGTCACGTCGAGAGCAACGCTGTGCGGTCTACTGTCGAAGGCTACGCTCGGTTCTCCCCTGGAACCTCCAAATGGACGAAGCATACAGTCGCGGAGCACGTGAGCATCGGTGGAAACGGTCCCATTCTTGTTGGAACCCCAACCCAAGTTGCGGATGGGTTGCAAGTCTGGATTGACGAGGCCGACGTTGACGGTTTCAACATGGTGAGTCGTATCCCGGTTATTGTGGTAGTATTGACTCTAATGCACGAGCTAGGCGTACGCCGTCTTTCCACAGTCGTTTGTGGACATGATTGAGCTGTTGCTTCCCGAGCTCAAGAAGCGGGGTTTGTTCTGGGACGATTATGCTGTGCCTGGTGGCACTTATCGCGAAAACTTCTATGCGAAGAAGGGACAGAAAGGGCCGCTTGAGGAGCACGTGGCATCGACGTATCGGTGGAAGGCGGGAGTCGATGCTAAGGACCACGTCATTCCGGAGTGAAAAGCAAATGCGATTAAGCAAGCTGAGATGTCGTGTATTTGAACAAAATCAAGTGCTCTAAGAGATTCGATACGCCCTAAGATTCGGTGCAAGTGACCGAGATGCCATATCAGTATGCGTCAGCTTGAAGATGTGCAAGATAACGCGATCTTGCTCTGGGTTGCATCCTGCAATGGGGAACGACGCCGTCGATGTCTTCTTGGGTGTTGCAAATCTGTCCTAGTTGCTGTCTCTCTCTCTCTAGAGCGCAAGGTCGCGTCAGTACAGGGGAGCGAGCACGACAACCGCCGCGATTGCTGCGAGCCGATTTCGTCAGCAAGCGGAGAAAAGACGTGATTGCCCATCTGCCCGACCGGCGGCTCTGCAGGCCGGGAAAAGATAGCGCATCTAACAGCGTCTTACGGCATCGGTGCTTGAGAACAAAGTTGATGATAGCGAGGCAGCTTACCCCGGGGCTTTAAAGTCATCATGGGTAGAGGCATGTGTCCGACGAGAGGGCATCATTCCAGGGACAGCGAGGACAACCACCGCTTACATAATGACGCCAAGCCCAATCTCATCAACCGCGGCCAATCTAACGGTTTCGGGGCAAGGTTCAACACCATCGCGACGCGTCGCACAGCTCGCAGAACATCTCGCGTCAGCAGAGGGCAACAAACAAGATGAATCTCACGCTGCCTTGCCAACTTCTTACCCCGTTTCGAAGCTGCAGTTGAGTCCAACGCAGTACATCGATCATGTACGAAGCCTTCGCGTCGCTGTCATCGGTGCCGGTCTAGCTGGTATCAATGCAGGTATTCTTCTGCCAGCGAAAGTGCCGGGCATCGACTTGACCATCTTTGAGAAGAACGATGATGTTGTAAGTGCACGTAAGAGTTGTGGGAATATCGCGCTGACAACGTGCAGAGTGGCACGTGGCTTGAGAACGTGTACCCAGGCGTACGATGCGACATTCCATCTCATGTGTACCAAGCGACATACTCGCCCAACACGCAATGGTCTGAGATATTCGCGCGAGGCGCTGAGATCCGTGACTATTGGAAGGCGCAGGCTAAGAAGCACGACGTCTACAAGTATGTCAGACTTCGGCACCGCGTCGACGAAGCGGAATGGGATGATGCACAGTCCGAATGGCGGGTGACAGTGCGAAACCTCAAAGATGAGACCACATCGACAGAGACCTTCGATTTCGTCATCACCGCCATTGGCCGGTTCAACTCTTGGAAGCTACCTGATTATCCGGGCTTGAACGACTACCAAGGCCATCTAAGACACACGTCGAACTGGGACGTTTCGTTCGATCCGACGGGCAAGAAGGTCGCTGTCATTGGGAATGGCGCAAGCGGTATTCAGGTCGTGCCAAATCTACAGCCCATTGCAAAACACATCACTCACTTCGTTCGTAATCCAACGTGGATCGCGACATCGTGGGCAGGCGATGAGCGGACTTTTGAGCCACAGCCATACTCGCAGGAACAGCGCAAGGCTCTGGAAGACCCTGGAGTGTATCTGGCCTTCAGGAAAGATCTTGAAGATAGATACTGGAGACGATTCCGTGCCATGATTCGTGGATCAACCGAGAATCAGGGCATGCGAGAGCAGTTCATCGATGTCATGAAGAAGCGAGTAGCGCAAAAGCCCGAACTGCTCGATGGATTGATACCAGATTTTGCCCCGCACTGCAGACGACTCACACCGGGCCCTGGCTACTTGGAGTCTCTCACCGAAGCGAATGTGGAGCTTGTCAAATCGCCTATCAAGCGTTTCACACCTCGAGGTATTGAAACGACCGATGGCAGAACGTTCGAGTTTGATGCGATATTTTGCGCGACCGGTGCCAACACCGATCTCGTTCCACCATTTTCGATCAAGGCGCACGGAGAGGATCTCCACGAAGCATGGAAGCCCGGAGGTAAATGGGGCTTTCCTTACACATATTTAGGTCTAGCTACACCCGGTTTCCCCAACCTATTCTTCCTAGCCGGTCCGCATGCTACGGGCCCTTCGGGCACAGTGCCACATGGTGTAGAGACGTCAATCACTTACTTCGCCAAAGTACTTCGCAAAGTCTCTTCACAAGGACTCAAGTCCCTAACACCATCGAAAGAGGCAACGGATGACTTTGTCGACTACTGTGACGCTTTCTTCCCGACCACAGTCTTGACCGACAAGTGTTCGTCTTGGAACAACGGCGGAATTCCTGGACAGCGTATTCACGGCTTATGGCCTGGTTCAGCTGCGCACTTTACCATAGCTAGACGGGAGCCACGATGGGAAGATTGGGAGTACGAACGCGAACACAAGGGCAATCGCTTCGCCTATTTTGGGAATGGGTACACTGAGGCAGAGCTTGATGAATCGACTGACTTGACCTCATATCTCAAGGCGCCTGGCCAGGAAGTAGATTTGAGGGATCTTCATGAGCGCTGGTGGGATGTGCCGGGTGCAGAGAGGAAACCATAGATACTCGTGTCGAGTTGTTCGAACAGATGAGTGCGTACTCGCTCGCCTGCAGACAATTTACTCGCAAATTGGCCCGCTCAAAAGGTCCGTGGTTCGTTGCTATAAGTCGCACTCTTTTCGAATGTCACATCTTGCACTGTGGTTCACAATCTGAGATGAAGATTGCGTGACCACGCTACTGTTCTTACCGCGGTTTCGTCAGTGTTCACTAGGCCTTATTTCGTACCCACGCCGACCGTTGAGGATGACTGCCCCATATC